AGATAGATAGATAGACAGACAGACAGACAGATAGATAGATAGATATGTAGACACAGACAGACAGATAGATATATATATAGATATATAGACAGACAGATAGATAGATAGATAGATAGATAGATAGACAGACAGACAGACAGACAGATATATAGACAGACAGACAGACAGACATAGATAGATAGACAGACAGACAGAGATAGATAGATAGATAGATAGACAGACAGACAGACAGATAGATAGATAGATATGTAGACACAGACAGACAGATAGATATATATATAGATATATAGACAGACAGATAGATAGATAGATAGATAGATAGATAGACACAGACAGATAGATAGATATATAGATAGACAGACACAGACAGATAGATAGACAGACACAGACAGATAGATAGATAGACAGACACAGACAGATAGATAGATAGATATATCCACTGAAGCTAAATATGCTCTTTGAACCATTCTAAAAAAAAACAGATAAACAAACAAATAAATTAATACATTTTGTCATATAATTTAAGTATATTTGTGATGAAAAAACAACAACTTTGTCATTCCTTTATATTGTTGCGTCAGATGCCATGCAGGGCAAATTAAAAGCTTTGATAATTCATAACGTGTATTAACCTGTATCGTATTGTGTGTATGTGTATTTAAAATATATGCAAAGAAAGCTATTGTGTTTTAATCTGTCTTAAATTCAGTTGTTCAATAAACTGCGTTACAGGGGCTTGTTGACATGTGCCTCATACCCTGACGTATATCCGGTTTAGTTCACCAGCATAAAGAGCAGGGACGTGCCCGACAAGTTGAACGCCCTGTTGTTGCCTAAAAATCAAGCAGTTCTGCAAACAATTGTCAACAACATGGCAGAGAGTGACTGGGATACCGTAACTGTTTTGAGGAAGAAGGGATCGGCTGCACAGTCAAAGTCTAAGCAGGTATTTCCATACCTTTGCCATCTGCTAACGTTACATAGTTTGCTGATGCTATTAGTTCACGTTTGGCAAACACATTGTTGCTGTGACCAGCTTTTAAGTGTTTCGCCTCGAATAATGTGCGAAATGGCTTTAATCTGTCATAAAGTTTAAAATATCGATCTGGGAATAAATGCAGCAGAAATATTAGCGTCGAATTAGTCCGGGTACGAAACGTGGTGGAAGCCTAATAAAAGCTGTTCACAGATGTTCAAGGAGTTTCGCTTTACATGACACAAACAGTACTTTTGTTTCAGGCTATACTTACTGCTCAGAGGAAAGGAGAAGCCGTCGAAACATCGAAGAAATGTAAGAACATTAAAACCTTTTCGTATGTCTTTTCCAACTGGAATTAAATGAACAATTTCTTCTTCGAAGGGGCTGCTGGACAAAACAAACAGCATGTTGTGACCAAGAACACAGCCAAGCTGGACAGAGAGACAGAGGAGCTCAGCCATCAGAGAGTGCCTCTGGAAGTAGGGAAGGTGATCCAGCTGGGCCGGCAGAATAAGGGCCTCACCCAGAAAGATCTGGCAACTGTGAATATTTTACAGATTTACTGTATGATTCATCTCTGATTTACCCACTCATGTGCATTTATTTATATATAATTGTGTTTTTTTGCAGAAAATCAACGAGAAGCCGCAAATCATTGCAGAGTATGAATCTGGGAAGGCCATTCCCAATAACCAAGTCATGGGGAAGATTGAGCGAGCCATTGGTATGATTTTGATTTAGCTAAACCTTACTTCACTATCTCATAGACTGTCTCTCATATTTTAATACCAGTGAGGGTCATTGTAGAAATTAGGGCTGCACAATATTGGAAAAAACTCCCACTGCGATATGAAAAAAAAAAATCAGATGACTTCAATATAGCTCTATTTGGAAAAAAAATTATGATTGGGGTGATTTGAACCGGCAGCCATATCACCCTGTAGCCCAAGACTGGTTACCCACTGAAGCTAAGCAGGGTTGAGCCTGGTCAGTATCTGGATGGGAGACCTCCTGGGAAAACTAGGTTGCTGCTGGAAGAGGTGTTAGTGAGGCCAGCAGGGGGTGCTCACCCTGTGGTCTGTGTGGGTCCTAACGCCCCAGTGTAGTGACAGGGACACTATACTGTCAACAAGCACTGTCCTCCGGATGAGACATTAAACCGAGGTCCTTTGACTCTCTGTGGTCATTAAAAATCCCAGGATGTCTTTCGAAAAGAGTAGAGGTGTGACCTCGGCATCCTGGCCAAATTTGCCCATTGGCCTCTGATCTTCATGGCCTCCTAACAATCCCCATATCTGCTGATTGGCTTCATCACTCTGTCTCCTCTCCACCAATAAGCTGGTGTGTGTTGGGCGTTTTGGCGCACTATGGCTGCCGTCGCATCATCCAGGTGGATGCTGCACACTGGTGGTGGATGAGGAGATACCCCCTGACAAGGTAAAGCGCTTTGAGTGCCTAGAAAAGCGCTATATAAATGTAATGAATTATTATTATTATTATTATTATTATTATTTATTTTTATAGGCGAGTAAATCAGCATAGGAAATAAACAAGTTACAAGCATAGATAAATAACAGAACAAAGATACAAATGAAATAAGCAGTGCTTTATATTTTTCAGGTAAGTCTAACAGTATTCGGGTAAGTTTTCACTGCATAAATTTAATCTAACAAATCTGTGTTAAAGCTACAAAAGTGATTTTTCTTTGTGTTTTATTGTTTGATTAATGTTCATTACACAGAAAGCAACAGGAACATTAAACTGCTGTGATTGTGAACCAATATACTGTTCCGCATCCATTTTCTTTCTCAGTTGTTTACCTTCACCTAAGCCATAAGCATCTGTCTCTGATTTACCCACTCATGTGCATTTATTTATATATAATTGTGTTTTTTTGCAGAAAATCAACGAGAAGCCGCAAATCATTGCAGAGTATGAATCTGGGAAGGCCATTCCCAATAACCAAGTCATGGGGAAGATTGAGCGAGCCATTGGTATGATTTTGATTTAGCTAAACCTTACTTCACTATCTCATAGACTGTCTCTCATATTTTAATACCAGTGAGGGTCATTGTAGAAATTAGGGCTGCACAATATTGGAAAAAACTCCCACTGCGATATGAAAAAAAAAAATCAGATGACTTCAATATAGCTCTATTTGGAAAAAAAATTATGATTGGGGTGATTTGAACCGGCAGCCATATCACCCTGTAGCTCAAGACTGGTTACCCACTGAAGCTAAGCAGGGTTGAGCCTGGTCAGTATCTGGATGGGAGACCTCCTGGGAAAACTAGGTTGCTGCTGGAAGAGGTGTTAGTGAGGCCAGCAGGGGGTGCTCACCCTGTGGTCTGTGTGGGTCCTAACGCCCCAGTGTAGTGACAGGGACACTATACTGTCAACAAGCACTGTCCTCCGGATGAGACATTAAACCGAGGTCCTTTGACTCTCTGTGGTCATTAAAAATCCCAGGATGTCTTTCGAAAAGAGTAGAGGTGTGACCTCGGCATCCTGGCCAAATTTGCCCATTGGCCTCTGATCTTCATGGCCTCCTAACAATCCCCATATCTGCTGATTGGCTTCATCACTCTGTCTCCTCTCCACCAATAAGCTGGTGTGTGTTGGGCGTTTTGGCGCACTATGGCTGCCGTCGCATCATCCAGGTGGATGCTGCACACTGGTGGTGGATGAGGAGATACCCCCTGACAAGGTAAAGCGCTTTGAGTGCCTAGAAAAGCGCTATATAAATGTAATGAATTATTATTATTATTATTATTATTATTATTTATTTTTATAGGCGAGTAAATCAGCATAGGAAATAAACAAGTTACAAGCATAGATAAATAACAGAACAAAGATACAAATGAAATAAGCAGTGCTTTATATTTTTCAGGTAAGTCTAACAGTATTCGGGTAAGTTTTCACTGCATAAATTTAATCTAACAAATCTGTGTTAAAGCTACAAAAGTGATTTTTCTTTGTGTTTTATTGTTTGATTAATGTTCATTACACAGAAAGCAACAGGAACATTAAACTGCTGTGATTGTGAACCAATATACTGTTCCGCATCCATTTTCTTTCTCAGTTGTTTACCTTCACCTAAGCCATAAGCATCTGTGTTTATAAGGATACTTGCAGAGCACAGTATTTCAGGCACAAATAGGCGCAGAAGTGAACAGAAATGTGTTCACGTGCATCTGCGTGGCTCTCACCGCGTCTACACTGGATGCGAGCGACGCGACAAAATACAATAGAACCCATTATAATCAGTGATGCTGTGTGACTGACTAAACCGAATGCGGCGCGACACGACAAATCCCGACAGTAAACTGATGCCGCGTTCTCTTTATGACGTACTGATACAGTTCAAATGATATGCAACGGTCGCTTTGTCGCGTCCAGTTTAGACAGACTTTGGGGCCGTTCACATGTCGTGCCTAAAAACGCGTGGAAAACGCCATTTGTGCCGCTTTCTCCTTCTTTCCAAAATGCTCGGGAGCTTGGGATTTTGTGGCGTCTGCCGTTGCTAAGTGACCATGACCTGAGCTCTCCTCGACGACGCGGAAGTTTCAACAAAGGATAAATGGATTTCCAGCATTGAAAATTGCTTGCAGTAGCTCTGCTACTAAATGTATTTAAAACGGTTATCTCTGTAAAGCTGTCGCGTCCGGTGTAGACACTGTGTCTGTGTGTGAGCAAAGAAAACAATCTGTAAAAGTCTAATGATCAGTATACTAAACATCGCACATCTTGCGATGTGAGTATCGCAGTTGCGCACATCTTGCGATATCGATGCTGAAACGATATATCGTGCAGCCCTAGTAGAAATGCCCTATTTGTAGGCCTAAGTGTCACTTGAAATTTATTCTGCAGTCAAGTTTCTGATAACGGGAATCCCAAGATCAAGTTGATTTGGTGTTCGGCCTGTAGTGATCTCTTTATGGATTCACCATAGATTTATGTAGAATAAAATCAGTGGGTTCAGTAAGATTTAAAAAAATTTTTTTATCTAGTCTCTTATACTCATTAGGGCTGCATGAAAAATACAGTGAAACTAAAGTATTATTTTGGTTTCAAATGTTTTCTTTCTTTTAATATTTTAAAATGTAATTTATTCCTGTTCTGGCAATTTTTCTGAAAATCCTTCAGAAAGCACTCTAATATGCTGATTTGCTGCTCAAGAAACATTTCTCATTGTCCGTGTTGAAAGCAGTTGTGCTGCCTAATATTTTTGTGGAAACTGATACTTTTTTCAAGATTTTTTTGATGAATAGAACGTTCAAAAGGACAACGTTTATTTGAAATGTGTTTTTTTTAAGTTGAATTTATTTTTTAATTATTTAAAGAAAAACAATCTTACTGACCCCAAATTTTAAATGGTAGAATAGATCATTTTAAACATTTGTTAAAAGAACTAGTATTACTTTGGTGCATTAAAAAATTATAATAAAAGTACTGCATTCCTTTTGAGCAGAACAAATATTTTAATTCATTTTTTTTTTTTAATTCAACGTTATTTTAATTCAAAGGAGTTTCACTCCTTAGTTTTTCCTCATTGTTTTTTTTTTTTTTTTTCATTTTTAGGCCTTAAGTTGCGTGGAAAGGACACTGGTTTGCCGCTTGATTCTGACCCTAAGAAGAAATGAGTACAAAATCCTCGAAAGATCCACCATTCACTGAAACCTTTCGGTACTTGTATGATCTTTACAGTTAATCTTTATTAATTGCTGCATTACTTCATATTTTCTCGATTCAATGGTGGATCAGACACGCTCATATTGCCACATACACACAAGGCTTATTATCTAACGTTTTATGTCAGATGATGAAGACTTGGATTATATATATATTTTCTTTTTTTAAGCTTGCTCACTGCTTTGAAATAAAAACGTATTTCTGTCTGATTAAGTTGTCTTCTAAATAATTCTGCACTTTTTCAATAACCCATTATTTGAAGTATTGGGAATCTCGTTTGTTAAACGCGCAGTTTAATGTTAAATGCTTTACTATAATATAAAAAAAATGATGTACTATGCAAATGAACTTGCACTCGGAACCATTAAACCTCTCGTGGTTGCAGTCGGACTCTTTCAAGCGGACGTTGTTGCCACAGGCAGCCGCTGGCGTTGTTTTAATAAGCTGCTGTTTTTCCTCGAATTATTACACGAGGAAACCGTGAACGGTTGATCAAATCTGAATACAACAGAAGACCAGGTTCTCATAAAACGACTTGATTTCGATATTTCAACTATCAGCGGGTCGGTCATTGCTAACTGCATAAAACATCGCCAGCTAAACGCAGTGAGGATTAGCATCACTGAAGCCTCGCTTTGCTTTCGCGCAACTGCTGAAGACGAGCGTTTGAAGTCGCTGTTCTCCCTTCATCAAACCTGCTGCCTCGGGACATTTTTTAAAAGGGCATGATCAAAACCGAGACGACATTTGAGATGTCCACCCTCATGAGAGATCTATCAGGCCGTCTGTCCGCCCTTCATCGTTCCTCGCAATGACGGAGCGCTGTCCTTCAGCCGAGAAGGCGCTGTCGGAGGGCTTCGCGCGGCTGCGCTTCAAGGACACCTCGCTGCTGATCTGGCAGCAGCAGCAGCTGGAGCTGGAGAGGGCGCCTCCCAACAACTACCTGAGCCGCAGCCAGAGCTCCTGGTACAGCCGGTACGGCAACCAGGCAGTGGTGATACGGGACAAAACAAGACTAGACTCCGACAGCACTGGACAGTCCCGGATTTGTTCTGTTATGTGATCCCGGTGTTGTTGTTGTGACTGATAATTCGCTCCACATTTGAGTGTTACTGTCTGGCAGGTTTAAAGTATTTGTGATCTGTCCACATGTTATTATTCAGACAGTCGGGTGCTCGTGTTTACACTGAGCTTCATGAACAATATATTAGACGGCAACCAGGCAGTGGTGATACGGGACAAAACAAGACTAGACTCCGACAGCACTGGACAGTCCCGGATTTGTGCTGTTATGTGATCCCGGTGTTGTTGTTGTGACTGATAATTCGCTCCACATTTGAGTGTTACTGTCTGGCAGGTTTAAAGTATTTGTGATCTGTCCACATGTTATTATTCAGACAGTCGGGTGCTCGTGTTTACACTGAGCTTCATGAACAATATATTACAGTATTTTTAACATTTATACAGTGCAACAGCAGTATCGTTGGAGAAACAATACCTGTTTATTATAGTTACAGACTAACGAGTACCAAAACTCAGTTTAACCAATTGAAAATCTAAATTTGAACCCAGATTAAAAGTGAACAATGTATATCATTGGATGCCCCACTTTAACAAACTCCATATAATCTTTTCAAAGTATGTTATCTCTGGTAGCAATATTATTGGGCTATTTTGTTTTCGTCGCAAAAGAAACACTTTTATTGCTGAAAAGACCCAAGATTTTAATAATACACTAATAATAGACCTTTTAAGGATGAAGTATTTATGTTTTTTATGTTTCCTTATATGGAGCTTTGAAGCCTCCAAAAATATAAAAATGTTTGTTAAATCAAGATTTAAATGAGGTTTACAAACTTAAGTTGGTCCATTTTGACAGCTAGACCTCAGTACACTGCTCAAGACAGTATTTTTTCATTTGACTCATTTTAATGTCTTCTAAAAAGAAAGAAAGAAATATATAAAAACATTAAGTGCACTCCAATAAATATATCTAGATAGTAAAAAGACACTCCTATGGGTTTTTGTGATTTATTAACGAAAAACGAGGGGCTCAGTGTCCAAATCTCAGATTAGTTTATACATCAGATATTACTGTGTAAGTCTGTGCCAAAACATACTTGTAAACTTGCTGAACTTAACATATGCAGCGCTACCAATTTAAAAATTTTACTCCAAAGAATGACATGTTATAAACTGCTCAAAGTTTAAGAAATATACTGTAAATTGGCATGCAATACACAAATGTTCTCTCTCTCTCATAAAAAAGAACTAAAATACTTAGACCCAAGATGGAGTTGACGAATAAGTAGTGAATATACATTTATATCTGTAATTATATATCTTTATATCTCTGTCTGCATCATGAAGATCAGTTTTATTTACTGGGCTCTGCTGGAGGAATTGAGGAAGAGGAGCTGTAACAGAAATCATCTAAGAGACAAGGTAAGTTATAGACACGAGGAACATGTAATGCAATACAGTGGTATAATGCATAAAATCAAACCATAATTAAAAGCGTCCTACATATAAGAAACCCAATGAAGTCACTACATCACGATTTTTTGATGCGCTTTCATGATTTAACAAAAACAAAAAAAAACTACACATTGGCATCAACTTGATCAGTTACACCGGACCAATCTGACTATTTTAATGTGCCACCTAAACTTAAGGCAACAAGAGCACATCCAATGATTTTGAAGGGTTCAGAGCTGAATTCAAGGCTGTTAAATGAAATAAAACCTTGCCAGTGCTACAAACCCAGTGAATGAGTGGCATTACTGCAGCTACAAGAAGAAAATGAAAAAATAACCTCGTAATACATTCAATATTTTTTATAAAGATTATCAGTCATGGTCCATTTCCAAACTATTCTGGATACATGGCAAGAAGTGTCTAGGTACCATTGAAAGCATTCAATACACCATTTGAGGAAAAACTAAAGTAAAATAAAGTTATTAAAACAGAACATACATTAGTTGTAATACTTTCAACTAAAAATAACTATTGTCCAACACACATCCTTCTGAAATGACATCTAGCACAGCTGCTTGAAATCTTGTCAAAGATAACAACGTCTTTTCTTAACGGAGATCTCCTCTAAGTGGCTATTTGTCCAAGAGAGCTAGTATGCACTTGGTTTTCCCATGGAGGAGTTTCATAGAGGCGGATTCATTCCAATCTGCAGCCTTATGGGCGTTTTTAAACTTCTGAATGTATTTTTGCCATCATTTTTGAAAAATATACCCCCATTTCTTATATACTGAACTTAAATCACAACTTTGATTGTCCTATGAGTAGACTTCGTAAAGATGAGGCATATCAGATAGAAAGTAGGAAATGAGATACTCGGGGCGCCTACAAATTAACAGTAAAAAAAAAGTAGGAAGAGGACAATTCAAATAGAAAAACAAACAAATGAGCGTATGATATAGATTAAAAATTCAGACATAATTCTACATCAAATACTGAGCTGACCGCACCGGAAGAGAAAAATGTACAGTGTTGAAATAGCCAAAAATGATTGCGAAGTCTCTGAAAACGGTTTAATAATGATACTGACAGTTTCCAGTTGCGGCCTAGAGTACTAGTGAGTTATGTTGAGCCAAATTTCTTACATTTAAACTGGTCAACTGGAAACATTTCTGTTGAAAACACACATAACTTTGTGCCTTTTTGGATTAAAAAAAATAAATAGATTCTCTTAAAAATGGTAACAATGACGAGTATTATCATAGTCAGCAAAAGAAATGTGGAATGAGCTGAAAAGTCATGCCAACATGACAGAACCACACCGGAGTGAGAGAGCCGATAATTCATTGTTTCTTCCTTCAGACTTTGTGTAGCTACTCGATCAGTAAAATGCAGCCAGGCATTTGTCAGTTTTTCCACTAACGCATGTTTTCAGTATGGATCTAACGAGCAGCAACCTAAAAAAGAAGAAGAAAAAAAGCAACGGACACACACAACCATTTCACCTCCACAACTGACATATTTTCAAAAAAATATCTTTTTTGTCTTTTTTTTTTTTCCTCTGGTGATACCAGGCGTTTCCCTTTGAGGGCCAGCGAGAACCTTAAAACTGCTTGAACTATTCCAACTCTCCTCTTTGTCTGAGCCAAGAGCATCCTACAAACTATTTTAAAATATCCTCTGCCATCTGCAATGCGTCTAGCTCTTTATAAAATGGGCCTTCAGAGAGATACTATCATGACAACACACACTACTCGTTAGAAAATAGAGGAGGTTGACGTATGTGACGCGCCGATTGTTCAGTCTGAGTCACTGCTCTCGGAGCTGGAGCCGCTGGAGCTGCTGCTGCCCGAATCTGAAGAACTGCTGCTGCCACTCAGCCGAGATGGCCCGCCCCCCTGCGCTGACCCCGCCTTCTCTGCTGGGAACAGGGAAGAGAAGTGATCGCAAGGTTCAATATGTGTGAGGAAAGCAAACGCTGAATGTACATATTTTATGCAACTCATTTCCGTTAAGACCTTTGTCCATATATTGTTATCTTAAAGGGCTTTACCCACACACCTGCAGCTGTGTATTACGATAAAGCAGAGACATGCACAAAGAAAGCAAAGAACTGATGTTGAAAGGACAGAATATATTACGTGCCCACCAAAGCAGCTGATATCATGTGAAGTCAGTTAGTTACAGCACATACACAACCACTTTGATTAGCCTCTCTAGCAGTTTTAACCAAATGTAATGGACTTGTCCAAAGCAGGGCTCGACAGCAAGGATTTTTTTTTCTACCAGTAGTTCAGATTTATAATTCTTATGTCAATACTTTTACTGGCCCCTAAACACAAAAAAAAACCTTGACATGATTAAAATAAATATAAAAAATTAATTATTTAATATTAACCCATAGACATTTTTTTATTCTAATTTTACCTTTAAGTACAAAATACCTATATTTACTACTGTTACAAAATTTACAGTCGGTAAGATTTTTTAAATCTTTATGAAAGGAGTCTCCTGTGCTCACCAAGGCGGCATTTATGTGATCAAAAAATATGGTAAAACCAGTAATATCGAGAAATATTACTGCAATTAAAAAAATGTCTATTTTAACGTATTGTAAAATATATTTTATTCCTGTGATGGCAAAGCTGAATTTTCAGCAGCCATTACTCCAGTCTTCAGTGTCACATGATCCTTCACAAATCATTCGAATATGATTTGGTGCTTAAGA